CGGGATGGTAGTGTACTAGTGTAGTCTTATTCATTAATTCCCGCTGCGTTCCCTACCCAGCAGTGCCGTCGAACCGTCTTTGCCGTCCTCGCACACCGGAAAGGCACGAAAGGTTACCTGACACCCTGCCCCGTCTTCCAAGGATGCGCAATTGTGGCAACAGGCGACGAAAGGTGCTGACGGCCTTCGTGGCGACAGACCACCCAAGTTCAACAGACCAACGGTTTGGGGTCCCGGCGCGCCGGCTTAGCTCGGCACCATGGCAATACGGCACCAAAGGATAAAAACTTCACCATCTCGTATCGTCATTCATTAAAAGTCGCAAGAAGTGGTCACGCTGCGAGCCCCCTTCGGTGATTCGGCACTGGCGCAATTTACTTGTAACGGGAGCACGGCCTATACGTCGCCAGATATCGGACGTGGGGCCGGTTCGCCGGGGTGCCGGGGCCGCCTCTATGTACTCACTCCAAGACTTTCCAAGGCCCCAGGTTCGAAGGCCAGACTTAACATGGCCCAACTACTGGCATGGAATCTTCTCGTGACGTCCAGAAGAGGGACCTCAACAAGGGGGGGTTGTCCCAAAGGGGCTCGCCTTCGTTGGCAGACCATGGTGGTGTCTCATATCCTGGTAGCAGATCCCATATTTTCAGTTCGAATCCCACCGCTTGCGAGCGCCTCTTTCATGTGGGCTTCCTCTTTGATAGTGCGGACCTTGGCATCTGACTTGAGGTCCACGGTTCATCAACTCGGCATTATTCCGTTGCCGATATCTCGTGATGCTGAGAGACATCCGGCACTTTTAGTCAAGGCGGCAATTCCACCACATTTACGACACGAAGTTCATTAATTGCATACCCCAAGAGAATAATATTGGCAAGAAGACCTCTGTACTTTTGGGGGGAACGTGAGTGGGCCGGATCGACTGTTTGGCACCTTCACATGCATCGGCAGACGCTGTTGGCTATACCTTTAGAGAATGCTGTGTGAAAAATACCGAGAACCGCCTGAGCAACGAGCAAAGGCAGAACAACTAAACCAATACCTCCAGAGAATGCAGTTGGCCTGCATTAAATGTGCTTATAGAATGCTGAGGAAAGTATCGTTTGAAGCCTTTCTGCATTTGACTGGCCAAGGTCAGGACCCAGCGATCAATCGTGGTGACATCTGTCTGCAACTTCTCATGACGTTCAAGATCCTCCAGTGTTACGGACATTACTGCGCTGTTCTTGACTTCTTCCAGAAGCTCCGTTATATAAGTTCATCCAAGTTACAAGAGGTAGACATGTGCTTACTACAATTTATAAGCAACATCGGGATAGGCTGTGTGACCCAGTAAGGGCACGGGTGGACTGCAAATTTGATGAGTGCTACTGCTACTGAGCCCTTCCGACACTGGTTCGCGAAATAATTGGACACCGGGGCTTAAATGCCAACAATACATCTCGTAGGATAGAAGGTGTTTGTACCATGAATCAAGTAGTCTGATGATTCAACGTCTGTCTGGAGAAACAGATCAAAGGATCAGCTTAACCGGGGACTTAGGGGATAATAGAGCGAAGCATCGCCTAAGCGGCTAACACTCAACGACCCGAACTCCGTGGAATACCTATACTTTTTCTTCAATCATGTATAAAAGAAGCAGCCTATAGATGTAAAAGGCTTCTCCGCGGAAACCGTGTACTACACAGACGAGACACAAATACCACAGCAATCAGGCGTCCCGTCAATGCATCGCACCACACAAGAACAGCTCATCCTGTTTGCCTGCTAGGTGACTATAGAACGGTCACCGCATCTTTTGTTGACACCAAAGATTCGAAAAGACTCGCTGAACTCCCGCCTACTCCGAAAATGCGATACCGAGAGTACCTGGATGCGTATAGCAGCCCCGATGAAAACGCCAAATCACCATTCTACGCCGAGGACTGCCAGTTCCAATTCGACGACTTAAAGTTATCTGGAAGAGATCCAATCATGGCAATGTTCGCCAAAGGTCACGTTGGCGTCAAAGAAGAGTTGCGACCTATTCATGTGCTGGAGACCGATAAACAAATCTTGGCTGAGCTGGACGCGTGCTTCATGCCCTTCGAAGACACACCTGGTAACTTGATTCACCCTTTCAGAAAGTATCAGCCGATTTCATTTCGATTCTTCGCTTCATACGAGATCCGCGACAACCAAATACAGTCGTTCCGACTGGCGCACTGGCCTCAGCCGACGGTTATCGAGCCGTTCTGAATAGATGCGGCAAACATCCGTCGGAAGGACTGTTTGCTGGGAACAACTAGGCAGTGCTCGCTTCTTCCCAATTTGGGATATTTCTCAAAAGGGGAAGGATGTTGAACGACAGCTCTAATGTACAGCCACAAATTACAACTCTGTTAATCGAGAGATCGCGGCAATGTCAAGTCCAGGTCGCACTTGTGGTCTGAAATTCCAATGACAACGTCTCGTCTGTGAACGCCCCGTGTCATGATTCATCACGCAAACTAGACTTCGTGCGTCTAAGACTAAATTGAAAGTAGGACGGACGTCATAAGGGACAGGGAAGTGGTCTTGTATATTCAAACCGCCTACTCTCACTGCATTGTGCACACCTAGGCGATTTAGCTATTGTTGACTCGTTTTAATAAGTGAAAACTCTTCCAGGTCAAAAGGAAAGCCTCAATCCCCATATTTGCTGATCAGCAGTAAGAGCTAAGCTGCCTAGCATTTAATCGAAAATTCGGGCGTCGATCACCTGAAAAGTTTTTGCCCCAGGGTTCGTGAGCACGGTGAAGTCTGGATGAGTGTCTTAGACTCAAAACCGGAAGTTGTGACATTACTCTTGGCTACAGCCACTCAGCAAAATGCCAAGGCTCAGCTGAGTTCAACGTTCCGAAAAGCGAACGTGCCACAGATTGCTTTAGTGGACGAAGGGGGTGCACCGCTGATCACGCTCCATATCCATCTCCATATACCGTCCACCCTCTCTCTAAAGCCTTGTTTTGGAATTCAAAGCGTCAGAGCTCAGCATTCTTTTAATCAAGGCCATTCATGCTGTTCAAACTATTACTTGTTATTCTTACTAGATGAGTCCCTGCCAACTTCCGCTCGACTTGACCTTCACTCAAGGGAAATTCGATGTTTTCGCATTTACCAAGAAGCTTGTCATATCTCAGCACGAAATTTGCCCTCTTATGACGGGCGAAGCAAAGAAGATAGCCGAGATACTCGATGCTGTTTGTGTCACGGTAGCCTGGTATTACCTATGTAGCGCAGGCTCTATATTTGGACTCGAGCTATCAGCCACCAGCAACGGCCCGTTCTCGGAAATGATTATTTGCGGGGAAGCTCCTCCCTACGAAGGGGGCTTTTTTTTCTGTACGACAAAGTGCGCTAGCATACTCGATATTGTAAAGATCATCGGCATGGCATGCGAGGGCAGATACTGAAAACAACATGGCAGTGTTGGCCAAGTACGCCTACATTTCGTACCCCCTCAAGTCGTCTGGTTGCGGGCTTCGTCAAGGCATTCCCGGAACCTTTACGGATGACGATGGCAAATAATCTTCGTGATAGGTCAGTGCCCTTTGAGTCTGTCGAATGAGCGAACTTGCAACGGGCTGTGGACCTCGAGTACGCTGTGAAGTTGTGGCATGTCTCAGCAACATCACACAGGGCAGTAGATCGTTCACGAGGGTTGTCAGCTGGGCAACTTGGTACTTTAATTCTCACTACTTAAAGGGAGGAGGGTGCGTTCATACTGACAGCCTTAGCGATATCTTCTTCAGCAAAGTCTCACCACAACGCTCAACCGAAGACCAACAGCTATCATGAGAGTCTGTTCAAGAGGCGTTGCAATCATCGCGATGGCAGTGTAAGAAAGACTACATGCCAACGAACAAGCCAAGTTAAGCTAACGAATCGGCAGATTTGCCACGGCTGAAATCCAAGCCGACACGGTCTACTGTCAAACAGTAACGTCGACTGGTATTGTTTGTCCCACATTCGTTCAGTTGGCATGTCTTGCCTTGTCAACCATCTCCAGCCAATGCGGATGTCCATCGACAGTTCCAACGAAATCAGTCGACTACCCGTGTGGTGGAAACTCACCACGTGGCTGCATGGAGACCTCGTATATCTACGAGACTGCAACTCCAACCTGTGGGGGCGTCACTCTCACCACCGAGGCTGTTACCACAATTGTGCCAACTCCCACTCCCACTACTGCCGGCCTCGAGGCATGTCCAACGGTCTACACAACAGAAATGTGCGACAAGTGCATACGGCCTATGTGTGTACAGATGTCGACAATCTCTCAGCTTTGCCATTGCCCAACGTCAGTGCCCACCGTCACCGTGAACATCGACTGCCCCAACTGCCCTACGGGATGTGGCACCTACTACGAGTACGCAACTGCAAAGCCGGAATGTGCTCCGACTGCTTGAATCAACAGAGAAAGAGACTTACAGCTGATATGGAGCATTTGGGGGGGGGGGGGAGGGGCATTCGAGTACGTCCCGGCTGGAATGCATTGCCTTGATATCGACGCGCTCAAATAGCATCTTGTGGAACTGGAGGTGCATGGGAATTATTATGGTTTCCATCTCTTAAGACAGATCAGTAGTCAATAAAAAGTAAAATCTTCAAGAATTTTGTCATATTCACAAAGTAGATTTCGGACATCTACAGATGTTTTCCAAATGTACAATAACTCCGCTCCATTTCTCCATAAATCATCAAACTTCATCAATCAAAGACGCATTACGCGTGACATGCGCCGGAACTTTTGAGGAACAGTCTGAGGCTCAACGCTCGTCAGAGTAGGAATAACCGGAATGGCCAACCCGGTATCGGCGTTGAAATACAGATGGTCAATAGTCGTCTCACGTCTGTAACCACCGCCGCCGGGAATACCAAAGCGGTGGTAGACAATGTACCAGTCATCGGTGCCGGGGACGTTGAGGATGGAGTTGTGGCCAGTACCGAGGATGCCTTGAGACGTATCCTTTTGCAGGATGACGCCTTGGTACGTCCAAGGACCGTTGAAAGTCTTGGAAGTAGCATAGCCGACACGGTAGTTTTCAGATCCGGTATCGTCGATAGAGTACGTGAGGTGGTAGAGACCCTCGCGATAAACCATGAAAAGCCCCTCGCGGAAATCGACGAGGCCAGTCATAAGTTGGGCGGTGTCCCAGTTGACAGAGACCATGTCGTCGTTCAGCTGTGCCACCAGAGGGCTGCCATTACCCCAGTAAATGTAATATTTGCCAGAGACCGGATCGTGGAAAGCCGCCGGGTCAATAGCTTGACCCGTGGTGACGGCCTCGTTGTTGAGTATCATGGCCTCCGGCTGAGCAGTAAAAGGTCCCTCGGGGGAGTCGGCTACAGCAACTCCAATTGTCTTCCTGTTCAGAGCTGCGTTCTGGCCGCTAAAGTAGAAGTAGTACTTTCCGTCGCGCTCGGCAATGGTAGGAGCCCAAGCATTACCGGTCGCCCAGGGAACGTTACCGTTTGCTCCATCGAGAGTGAGAAAGGGTTCCGCGCTACGGGTCCAGGTGACGAGATCGGTAGACTTCCATAAGTAGAATGTGTTTCCACCCCAGCCCGGAACTCCGTCGGTGGTGACATAGATGTAGTAGACGCCGTTGAAGACCGCGACGTTGGGGTCAGCATAGAGACCGGGCAGGACGGGGCTACCCATCTCCACGGCGCTAATGGTCCATTCCGCGACGGCCTCGTCACCCTCAGAAAGCACGTACTTGACTGGAGCACTCAAGTCGACAGTCGAGCCAGATGCCGGAGATGAGGTCACACCCTCGGTCGTGGTGAAGACAGGGGCGAGAGCGGTAACGTCAGTGCCCGGCTTGACAGGGAATAAGACTTTGCTGTCAGTGGTGTTGATGATGGCGGGGACCTTCAGGACCGAGGCATCAGAAAGGGAGACTTCCGTGATGGCCCCGACGTTTCCAGAGCGAGAGAGAACTTCGGCAGCGGTCAAGGACCTGTTAAATATCGCAAACTCGCGAATCTGACCCTTGAAAAGCTTGTCGCTAGAGTAGACAGACTTGCCGATGTAGTTTGCAGTTGTGACGCCATTGCCGATGTTCTGAGGATCGATGTTGACGTCCTCGTTGCGAGCCACTTCGTAGCCATTCAGGTAAATGACGGAAGTGCGGCCTGAGATAGTGTAAACAAGGTGCAGCCAAGACCCTGTGGGAAGAGAGGAGCTGGAAGCTGCCGACTTCTCACCCGTCCAGTTGCCAGTTGTGATGCTGGCTCTATAGGGGCTTCCGGTGGTGAAGAGATAGCCATTTCCGTTGCCATCAGCAGCGGTGTTTCCAATGCCGTAGATGAAGTAAGGCGTTGTCTGAGAAGCATCAAGGAGAACCTGAGCCTCGATGGCAACGTCCTCGACGCCCGACAGGATGTTGTTGGGAAGTTTCACAAAGTCATCGACACCGTCAAAGGTGAGAGCACCATCCACAACAGTAGCACCGCCATTGATCACAGCGTGGTTACCGTTTCCGGAAGCATCTTGGAGCTGAGTGCCATCAGTAGCGGAGAAGTCATAGCGGAGGATCTCGCCTTCAGCTTCGACTGCTCGGCGTGTGGCCGATGCTCCAGTCAAAGAGGCAAGCTCGGCAGCAGTGACAGGGATGACAGTTCCGTGACGCGGGCTGGCCGGCAGGCTGTACGAAGATGATACCGTCCAGTTGGGGTTGCCAATGTCGGCAGTCTCCAAGGGGATGTAGCCACGGCCGCCGTACTCATCAACGAAGAGGTAGAACTTCTCGCCGTGGACGTCGTCCGGGTTCGATTTGAAGGCAGTCGGGCCCTCGACAGCGCTTGTACCAGCCTTCTTGCCGATACAAGAGTCGATGATGGTCCATGAGTCCAGGGTAGCGCGAAGGGACGTAGAGCTCTCCTGAATGATATCACTGCATCCCGTACCGCTAGCACCTTCGTCCTTCGTAAATCGGTAGTAGGTATCGGCCGACTTGATGACGGTCGAGTCAATTCTCGACATGCCAGCATCTTGCCAAACAGAAGTCTCGGAAAAGGTCACGAAGTCGCGAGTGGTTGCGTACAGCATGCGGTGGTAGGTGCTGCCAGTGCGGTTGACGTCGCTATCTTCGTAAAGAGATGATGCCCAGAAGACCAGATAGGCACCAAGGTCGTCGTCGTAGTAAGCCTCAGGTGCCCATGTGTTTCCTGCTTCAGGAGGGGAAACCAAGACATGTCGCTGTGCTGACCAGGTTTTGAGATCGTTGGATTCCCAAACCTCGAGATACCGACTACCGATGCGAACTGAGTCACCCCAAGATGTGCCTGAACCAATGGAGAGATCGGTGGCAATCAGGTAGAAGGTATCACCCTCGGGCGATCTTATAAGGAATGGGTCGCGCAGTCCCTTGGTGCCGTATGTAGAGGCCAAGACGGGCTGACCTCCGTTAAGCTCGGTCCACTGCAGGGCGTCGTTGCCTTGACTAGCTGCGAAATATATCTTCTCTCCAGCAATGGAGTTTCCGGTGAAGTAGGAGAACGCGTAGCCCGCAAACGGGTCAAGAGCTACGGCTTTTCGGACGGAGGCGACAAGCTCTCGAGTCTGAGAGCTACCTTCGTAGTCGATGGAAGCGGTCAGGGCCACCTGGGTATCCTCGGCCTGTCTTACGACAACACCACTGCTTGAGATGACCGAGGAGTTGCTTGCCCAGGTGACATTGAGGCCGTCAATGGTGGAGGGTAGGTAAAGGTTGCCACGGACATCGTCAAGGTTGGTAACGGTGATAGCGGCAAGTGCAGCCTCAACCTTTGCGGTGTTGTCGTCTTGGCCTCTCACCGTCGCCGCGAGGGCGAGTGCGGAGGAGAGCCAGAAGTGAAGCGACTGCATGACTGGGATAGCTCAGAGAGCCACAAATTGTCACCTTGAACATCAAGCCAGAACACGTATTACAGGATCTCCTTCTCACTTTATATATGTAGCGTTCCTGTCGTCCGGCCCCGACATACGCAAGAGCGGGATGATCTCCCACATCGCTGGGTCAGGACAAGACGAACCGTCCGAGACTTTGGCCGACCGGCTTGGGTAGCACTGCGATGGATATTGCGCCCATAAACAGCCCAATGGCCGATCATTACCTCTTGCTATTACGCAAGCCTCATGCTAGCAACGGAAGATTTGCAAGTTCACTTGTGAGGAGCAAGCGCAGCAGTAAAGGCAAAGCGTCGTGGAACGGTTACACCGAAAGCCCAACGGGAACTTGCGGTAGTCACATTAGCTACCCCGAATACCCTTGTTTCTCCGCACTTTGAATACCCCACAATCTCCAAAGACAGCCGGTAATGATGCGCATCCCGGCTGTTGATGGCTTGTTTGCGGGGAAGTCGCAGCCGGTGAGGAGACTAGAAGACGATGCGCCCGAGTCAGGCAGCCCGGCGGTGCTCAGGTGACTGAGTGAACATGGACCACATCAGTGCAAACTCTTTAACAACAGACTTCTTGATCTTGAGGTTGACAAGATCTTTCAAGAGAGTTGGCCTGATTGAAAGCTGTTGCAGAGGGCATGACTTCGGGCTAAGATGTGCCTGTTCTGTATCCAAATCGGGCACAGTTGTCATAAGCATGGTGCCCTTGATCGTGGTGGTACTTGTCATGGAGAATCTTCCAGATGCGGTCAGATTCCTTCACGTGCCTCCAGGGATTGTGCAATAACAACTCGTATTTACCGGCAAAGTTGACATGGTCTGCTGGGTAGGGGGAAGAAAGTTGGAAACGGACGATGGCTGGGTGATTTGAGCAGGGGAAAGCTGTTCGTGACATCGCAGAAATGATGTACCGAGGTAAACTCACCACGCGCTCGAATCAAATTGCACCCGACATTTCGATTTAGGCAAGTCGCCGCCCCGCAACACGGCCAAACCTTGACTTAGAGTTACCTGTCACCAGGCAGCGCTCGGGCCGAAGCTGCGCGATGCTATCATCAGACCAAGTGAGGTCTGAGTTATTTTCTCACAACCAAGGAAGTCTCGAAGCCTTGCCAGAAAGCTTTCCCCTGCCAAGTAGACCCTTGATCGTAGCAAAGACAAGCAAAAGATTGACTATATAGACAGTCAGACCTAATTGGGTCTTCTCATGTCCAGGGATCAGGCACTTCACGTCCATACTTGGCCTAGACCCTGCCTCTGAAAAGCGTCTCAAGCGTCAATTTCCAATGATAATTTTGTCACGTGGTGTAATCTCTTGTAAAGCGCACAAGTGCGATATCAGATCAATGGTGGTTTCCAGTCACATATGGCGAATGATGAGTCAAAAGCAACGGCCGTTCCAGTCCTTGTCACTTGAAATAGCTGAGAGTCTCGTCAAGTTGACACAATTCCAGAGGTGGCCCAGTAGCAGACAAGACGGCCACTTCTTCGTCGAACCCGCTCGCCTGATTCAGTAGCTTCCAACAGAAAGCTACAAGAGCAGAACTAGGGCACGATGAAAATGGAAATCTTGTTACGGATTCTTTAAAAGGATGTAGGTCTAAAGTGACATCGGATTAACTTCTGATCAGGTGATAACACCGCAGTCGCACTAGACGCTTCCCCTTCTTTTCCATATTCCTGGAGGGGAACCGTCAACCAAATCTCATGAGACCTCCGCTAATCACAGTAACATCCACCGTCATAACATCTCCCTCCACTAGTGTCGAAAGTAGTCATCATCAACCACGCATTTGGATCGGATTTATATGTCGAGCTTGATCGTCTGTAAGCGACACTGCGTTCTTCCCGGCTAGCTTCGCGAGCTTCTGCCCTAGCCTTCTTTGCTTTGGCCTTCTCCAGTGTCTTTGCTTCTTTCTTGATTGTGGCCTCTTGGCGTTGCTCTAATTTCTCAGTCGGAAGGCTCTTCTTCGAATGAACCAAAGTCTTGAGGCTTTTGATCAAAGTTTTAAGCCTGGTAGAGCCTTGAGGTTTTTGCGTACTGTCTTTCGTATTCGTCATGATGAAATCTGGAGGGGTTCCTGGGAGGTTGACAGAAGTGGGTCTTAGAATAGAAGTTTCAAGTATGTCTGGTTGATATAGCTCTAAAGCTCCGTTCATGATGAGTTGATGGGTTGATGAGTTCATGTTCCATTACTCGCTCTCTGTGTGTCCTATTATACATAAGAAATTATGGCCATGGTTGTGTAATCTACCGCCCGTGTCATCACTTCGGCACATCCGCTTTACTGTTGTTAAAATGTGCTTGACATCTCGTCACCTGATATTTGTGTGACCAGTGAGGTTCTGGACATAGAGGTTGCGTGGTGACGCTGTTCGGCAACGGCCGGTATGTTCAGATGTCGGGATCTACTCGGATAGGGAATAGTACGAGGGCGACAGGAAGGGTCCAAGCAACAAAGGAGCAGCTCAGATATATATACAGCGCGGGGAGTACACTTCGAGGGAGGGGCAGATTTCAGTAATTCGTCTCTTTGACCCTAACAGCAGTGGACCTCTGTGAGCTTCTTCCTGGTATTGTACACTTATTGACATCAGATCAACCCTACGGTCCCAGATAGTTTAGAAGATACCGCGGCACAGTGGAAATAGACAGCTATTATGTAATGTTAGCTCAGGGTCAGAAAGCCGTATCAAATTTCTCACTACGATTCTCATGACTTTCCTCGGGAAATAAACGATATAGAAGCATCAGGGACGCATTCTGTCGAATTCATTGGTCGTAAGGTAATTTGTGATTAGGCTGGTATTACTACGCTAAGCTCCGATTGAAGTTATTGCCTCCACGAGAGTAACAGGTAATGACCGAGGGTTTCAAAGGGCATCAAAAGTGTGTCCGTAGAAGTCAACATGACTGAGAGGATATCAAGTAGATGAGATACTAGTGTTTTTCTTCAATCTTTGTCGTGAGTGATGTAGACCTTGATTTTTTAAGCGTTACATGGCAAGAACCTGCTCGCGTTCATGCAGGTCATATGATCAAGTACCAAGTTGACTGGAGGGCTTCTGAGAAGCCACGTGCGAAACACGTGCACAAAATCTCAAGGCTTCAAGGTTCTCACTTTATCCAACGGATCAGCTGCGTTGTGCAATGTGCCTATGTGCAAACATAGTCGTTCCTCATTCAACATCAAGCTAAATATGTGCGCAGCGACCATAGGCCGCAATGTGAGATGATATGTACAAGAATTTCTGGCCAAAAGTTCTGAACTGAGAAGCAAATACGGTCCAGGGTTGGTAATGGGTCTGAGAGACCTGTGTGAACTCTCGGCGATGCCGTGCGGCTGGCGGTAGATCGTAGAGGTATCTTATCCGGAGCAAACGCCTGACTTGACGGGCTCGCAGCCACCGGCACATCCGGTGTACATCTGGCACGGGACCTTGGCGTCGGTGCAGACGTTCTTGAGGGTGGCGGTATCGCCGTAGTTGGAGTTGATACCAACAACTTCGCCACCGTTGCGGGCGGTGGTGCCCTCGACGTAGACGTTGCGCTTGCACTGGCTGCTGCACTGATTTGGAGAGAATCGGGTCAGCATGATCACTTCCACAGGTCACGAGACTAGACAACAAAAGACTTACGTTGCCGCAAGAGCGATAGACCTTGCCATAGCTACTTTAGTGTCAGTTTGGTTTCACTTTCATAATACAAGCAGATGACTCACTCATTCGCGTCTGTGTATATAAATGTGGTTAGAGAACTGTCTCAAGAAATCCGAAAGGGCACTGCTCTGGGATAACTCACAGAAGTTGATGATGTTCACGGTACCGCAACCGTTATGTTGAACAATCTTATCGCTGGCCTTGTACGCCCCACCACCAATGATCCAGGTGTGGTCGCCAGCCTTGTCGTTCTTCTGCATCGGTTGTCAACTATGCTGTTCAAAGAGGCTTCTTCACTGTCGTGTTCATTACTTACAACAGTGATGGCATCCTCACAAACATCCTCAAACCACACAAACTCGAGTGTGCAAGGACCGTCGCAGTGAACCCCCTCTTTCTGGTTCTTACCAATAATGGCATTCTTCAGAGTTGCGCCCTTGCGGAGAATGAAGACAGCATCAGCATCACCTAGGCGGCTTTGTCAGTTTTCAACCAATCCTTGCCATGGCGGAGTATAGATAGTATACCTCCTTCACCACTGGTACAAGCACCAGAACCACGGTCAAATCTGGCCCAACCACCGTCGTAGACAGTGCCAGCGGGAACCTCAATGTACTTGCTGTTGGTCTTGGTGGATGTTGCAGTGGGAACGCCGCCCTCGTATCCGAGACAGGCGAGGGTGCTGGGCACGGCCGCCAGCAAAGCCACAATGCTGGCCTTGGAGAAGTACATGATGGCTAAAACCTGGTTGATTACAATGCTCGAAGGTGGAAGTATAGTCAGTCGTGATTAGGATGGAATGTTTCTGTCCAGTGAGGGTTCTAAGACTCTCCCCGAAATGACAACATCGGATGATGAGCTCGCGTTATATAGAAGATTCAAGCCGATTCTTTGCCAATTCCTACAGAGTCCGAGTCAAGACAAGCAAACAAGGTGAAGATACAATGCATACTCGATTGGTGGACTTATCGTGGAGGATTCTGTCTCCTCGAAGCCTTACGAACTGGATCCAACATACCGTCCGAATCCTACGCTGAGGAAAACCCACGATCAACAGAAACGGGAGATTCTATAGGCGATCCAATCATGTTCAAAAATCCACGGACAACTGTTGCGATTTCAAGGCTCAGAGATATGCCTGAGGGGGCAAGCCAAAGGGGCGGATGCAAAATAGGAAGGACTCTGGAGCTATTTCCCCTTCAATGGCAGTTTGCAGCCGCTAGCCCTTGTTTCAGTGTGGTATTATAGAGCATTCAACTTGCGTTGCCAAGATCTAATCAGGATCCTGCCATGGCATTCTGTTAAAGGTCACATTATTTGCTTGATAGTGCCAAGAACAACCATGTGGACGGAGAAATTGCCCACTACCGCGTGCCCCGGTCCGGGTCCCCGGTCCTGCAGATTTCCCCCAGTCATAGCTCCTCAAAACTGTTCCGTCCGGAGCTCTTTACTGGGGCCGTATCGCGGGCATGTCATCGCAGCCCATCGAGGCACCCAGGAACCCCGCCATTGAGCAGCTTTTGGTGGCCGGGCTATCACTTCCAACCAAGGGCTTGTTCGCCTAAACTGCCCATATCGTACTGTGGCGCCCGAACACTTGCATAGTGTGCCCAGTCAGGTGAAGTAGGTTAACTGCGAGGCGCAAATCTTGTCATTATCATCCATCATTGTGAGTCCTCAGACGTGAAGAAGCCTTTAGCCCAATGGTCCCGACTGAGGCGCTTGTTTCATGCACTCCGCTCGGGATTGATAAGTGCCGGCAGATATCGGTTGCACCAACAGCGGGCCTGTAGAAATGAAGAATTGGCGCAGTTGCACACAGACTCGTTCCCCGCCCTAGATTCATGACTAGAAGTTGTGCTGACTGCAAGCCAAGGCCGTCACTCACGCCACTCTCGCAACAAAGCCTTCCGCTCCTCGCAAGGGTACAGAAATAGGCAATAAGTAGTCGACCACGTGAGGAAATGGGGTTTGAAATAAGAAAAATAACTTGTTCGGCTTACAAACTTTTCAGAGAACGTGAGTTCTCAAGTCCTCTTCCGTGACTTGATTTGAGCATAAGCAAGCCCTTGGAGGTTCCAGGGCCAACTTGAAGAGAACACATCATGCCAAATGCCCTAAGTTGAGATTTCCGGACGTTACCTTACTTTCACTTTCATACAAGATGCACTATTGTTACGATGTTATATGAGTTGCTGCAGAACTGAGTTCAGGTTGGGGTTAACGCTCTGGAACGGGTTGCATTAGTGGTAAGTCATATTTAACCTTTCTTTTGGTATTCGTTCGTCCCATAATTCAAACATGCTAAGTGAGGCCAAATGAAGCTACCCTTCAATCCTCCATGTTTTGAACTTCGTTCTGCCTTTTCTCCCATTCCCCGATGTATCACTGTCATTGAAAAGGAAGTAAAGCACTCCAGTATCATCGTGGAGGGAGTAGAAGCACGAAGAAGTATTAGAACTTTCAACTCATTAGGCTCAAGTTCCCAAGGTTTTCTTTAATAATTTTTTTCCTTCAAAAAACTTGACTGACTCCCTGGTCTTAGTTTTTGCCTTTCCATATGGCCGCTTTGCTTTGGTCAGGATAACCACGTCATTTTACTCGGCTTACCTGATCATGCTGACATTGCACAATATGTCGACGGATTATTGCGCTAAAGTGCGCCCTTCCAAAGTCCCAAAATGACCTCGAATTACTAATAGGAACTTTTGAATGAAGTAAGACTGTCGTTCTGAAAGCCATTAGGGCCTAGGACTTCATATTTCAAGGTTCCTGCCAAGCAAGGCTTGTTTTCCCGCCCATGGCTTCCCACTACCCACAAGGGTATCTCAACCGTTTCCTACCAACCATCATGTCGCAGCAACCTACAGAGATCAAGGCAGTCTTCTTCGACTTCATGGGAACTTGCCTCGACTGGCACGCCAGTGTAGTTGAAGCCTTACCCGCCACCATCCCAAAGGAAGAAGCGTCAAAGTTCGCGCTCGAATGGCGCAGACAGTATTTCATCGAGAATGCAAACCGGCATGCGCAGGGTCTTGAGCCCGAGGACATTGACATCACGTTTGCACGGGTCCTCGACAACCTGCTGGACCAGTCTCCCGTGTACGCCAGCCATTTCAATTCCGAGATCAAGACGGAGTTGATCAAAGTATGGCACTCGCAGCCTGCCTGGCCGGAAGTCTCAAAGGCAATTGAGAGCCTGCGCAACGATCTCGGTCTCGAAGTGTTTGTGCATGCCAACGGCACGACTCGCTTGCAGCTTGACCTCGTCCGTTTTTCAGGGCTGAGCTTCAACATGCTCTTTTCCAGTCAGCTTCTCGGTGTATACAAGCCTAGCCCCATTGCGTATGGAAAGGCCTTGCAGCTTGTTAAGCTCAAGCCTGAGGAAGTAGTGTTGGTTGCGGCACATGCATATGATTTGCGAGGGGCGCAGAAGGTTGGGTTGAGGACCATCTATATTCATCGATGGACTGATGATGTCGATGAGGATATGGAACTGGTTCGGTCCGAGTTTGATGTATTCCTGGAAGATATGACGGACTTGCCAAAGGCAGTCGGTAGCTTGTGATTT